GGGAGGGGAGGCAAGGGAATTTCATCTGTGAAAGACAGAGAGTGCAGGATCCTGCAGCCCTGATTCCTGAAGCCTGAGTAGCATTACATCTATATTGGTCCATTACACTTGACCTTCAGGGTCAAACACATCTTCAAACACAGTTCAGCATACCAAGCTGCTTTTCTATGGGCTTTTACAGCAATGGAACACAGTAAGAACAGCTGTTTTACATGTAAGACATGATATTTGTGGGATGAAAATGAATTTGTAGAACAAACCTTTTCTTTAAAGTCTGAAAGCATGCGTCCTAGTATTCTAAATTTTCCAGAATCCAGAATAAGATCAATCTCTAGTTTGAAGTCGCTGATATTTGCATATTGTTTACAAAGCAAATGTAACTCATAATCTGTCATCACCGACATGTCTTCAAATATAAGGTCAGGATTTGCCTCACAGTGTGTAGGTTCCTAAAAAACAAAAAACATGCGAACGCAAAATAGTAAGGAACTAGCAAGAATGTTCTATTGTACAATATCTGGACATATGCTTACAAAAACATTGAGCCAAATCTGGTTTGTATTAGGACAATAAACTCTTCAGGAGTTGTTCGTAACTCTTGGTAGATTAAGGTGCTACTGGATTTAAGGCATCGCTGAAGACCAACATATTGTTTCAGAGTATTAGCTTTAGTGAATCAAACCTCATTTTGACGAACTGATCTTTGACTCGTGAAAGCTTATACCCTGGAAAACTGTGCTGGACTTTTAAGGTGCTACTTGACTTGGATTTTGTTCTGCCACTGCAGACTAAAATGGCTACCCACCTGATAAAATACCTTTATGTTAGCCTGGAGTGCTAAATTCTACAAACACTTGATCCAGAAAAAAAATGTCATGTGTTAACATACAGACCCTTCTTTTGCCTTTCTTGACTTGCAAATGCATTTAGGAGGACGGAAGTAAGAGCTTTCTAGTGAAATTATCCACAGATACAGTAAATCAGCAACAGTACATAAATATTCAGTAGCTCCAATGAACAAATTCACTAACTCGGTTTCTAAATCAGATGACTGCTGCTAGGCACCAGATCTGCAATCCCTTTACTCTTAAGAATCATTTTCTAAAGGCAGATTTTAAATTGTACACCCTAAAGGTTTTAGAGCACTTAATACTGGACTGACGGATGAACAGCTGGTATATTGTATAACCACAAGCCTATTCCTGATCAAGAGAATTAAAATACATCAATAATTACTGCATTATTTAACCTAACAGCTTACCTTGAGCATGAGTTTTGACATCACTTTAAGTTTCTCAGGTGTATAATATTGGCGGTGCAAAAGTGGATGATTGGCCATTTTTCTTAGCTGCATCATGACATTGCCCATTTCTGAACCCTTTTCTACGGTCAGAAGCAAAACAAGTTGACACAAAATAAAATTTAACCACTGAATTAGCCAGTTCTCTACAACAGTTCAAGATTTTTAAAGGTATATAAGTCACCAGAGCTTAGCTTTTCAGTTTGATACCTCATGAGATAAAAAGGGAAGAAAAAATAGTTCCATACCTTGACTGTCAATAGACCTTTTTAAGCAGTTGAAGAGGTCCTGATATAGCTGCTCCTGTTTCTCAGACATTTCACACCACTCAATAATGTCCTTCTTTGGTGGTAGCTGTTTAAGGACCTGATGGGCCAAAGCAAAATTTTAAACTAAGTTTAAATTTACACCTGGAGCCTAACACAACCTGAAGCCGGTCGGGGGCTCGAACAGGTTAAAAAGTTGGGATAAAAATATATTCAGTAAATAAATCCTATTCAAAAGAACATGTGTCTGAACTATTACGTGGTTAGCACTGCAGACTAGCACAGGCTAAAATACGGAGACATACCTCTTCTTTAACTCTTCGCAGGATGAATGGTTTCATTATCTGCTTGGCATGTGCAATTCTCTCTTTTTCATACACACTATGTTCCTCAGCCGCTTTCTA